CGATACAGACCATCAGTGTCGTCCGCGTGAAAAACAGCAGCTCTTGTGCATTTTCCGCGGCCTCCACGTACGGTTAAGTGTTCAGTGTCCCTTCGTCCACGGCAGAGTTCACGGTCGGTTACGGTCGGGTGTTGCGAGTAAACGAATAAACGTGACTGGATCGCGATGTCGTCGCCGCGGAACTTAGCGTTTCCTTTCGACGTGCATCCCTTATCGTCCAAAGTGAATACGACCGTCGCGTGTTTGGTAATCAAAGGTATAACCCGCGTGGCGCGCGCGTATACGATGCGCGCGTCGCGATGCTCGGCCACCGACTGTCGACTGCGTCGCGACGACGGTACGTCCCGACGCCCGAACACGACCGAGGACGACCGAGGTCGCCGAAACGACGCCCGGTGTCGACGACGAAGACACGTAAACGCGACCAACCATTCTTGCGGTTCACCTGAACTTTCTTTGTTTATTTGTATGCAAGATTACCCCTTCACGAACAAATACAGAATGTCGTGAACTTAGACGCGACGAGGAACGAGAAAAATATTATATCCAATGGAATAGTAGGCCCAACTTGGTACGACTGACCCAATTAACGTGTGTTTACATTCAAACAATTATTATTATTAGTATTGCAAGTGTACGTTCACCGTAGCCGAAAATTTCAATATCTCCTCGATTTTTTTCCCCTCGAAAGTGGGTTGGATTTCAGGGGTATGTGTATTGAACTCCCCGTAACCAAAAACAATTTTTCCAGAACGATTTGAAATTTCTTTTTTCGACGAAAAATTTTAGAACCTACTCGATTTTTTTTCTCGAAAGTGCGTAGGATTTTGGGGGTATGTCTATGCACCAAAAACAATTCCAATTGCCCCCTGCAACCGAAAATAATTTTTCCAGAATGATTTGAAACTTTTAAATTTCCAGGGTAACGGACAGTTATGGTCAGACATTATATTTTCAGTAATGAATTTTTTTCTCGAAAATGGATAGAATTTTGGGGGTATGTCTGTTCACCAAAAGTAATTGTAATTGACCCCTGCAACCGAACATAATTTTTCCAGAACGATTTGAAATTTTTCATTTTCGTCGAAAAATTTAGGCATCTTCTCGAATTTTTTTCTCGATAACGCGTAGGAATTCGGGGGTATGTGTAATGGCCAAAAATGATTGTAATCGAGCCCTGCAACCGAGAATAATTTTTTTAGAATGATTTGAAAAATTTGTTTTCGCCACAAAAGATCAGCACATACATGAATTTTTTTCTCGAAAATGGGTAGGATTTCGGGGGCATGTGTATTCACCAAAAATGATTGTAATTGACCCCTGCAATCGAACATAATTTTTCCAGAACGATTTGAAATTTTTCTTTTTCATCGAAAAATTTATGCATGTTCTCGAATTTTTTTCTTGAAAACGCGTTGGAATTCGGGGGTATGTGTAATGGCCAACAATGATTGTAATCGAGCCCTGCAACCGAGAATAATTTTTTTAGAATGATTAGTAACTTAGTAACTTAGTAACGAAGCCTCAGTCAAGAAATTGATATTCTTGACTTTCGTCTTATTTTGGCCTCTAGAATCTCCCAGGGATGGCCGAGCACCCTGTATACCAGCCCAACCAACCATTGCGCGTCAACCTCTTTGAATTCAGAGCCGAAGCTTGTCGGTTGAATTCCCCTATGAAAGGACGCCATTGAAATCGAGACGATCCCTAAACCGAGTAATTATCTCGTTTGTAGTTTCAGACCTAGTCCTTCGAATCGACAATAGATAAGCTTCCGGTAACGTAGTAATTTGCCTAATGTCTCTGTTAATCCGATCCATTTTGCCACGGGCATAATCACTTCTATTTTAAACGCGACACGCGAGTATTTCAACCACTGTTGATCGATCGGTCCTCTATCTTTCGAAAAGTATTTCTTAAACGGAATAACTTCCGCTTCTGGATTCGAACATTCGCGCGTTAGCGGAGCATCCGGTCGCTCCCCGCTGTTTCATTGTTCTCGCTCGGTTGGCTTTGTGTGGTTTCAATCTTCAATTAAATAAACCATTTTTATTCATTCCAAATCGCGTGCAACGCGACCCTTCTAACAGTATTGCAAACAAAACCGAAACTATTCAAAATGGTTGACTATTTGGATATATGGACGCATGGACTAAATAAATGTTCGAGTTTAACTGATATTAAATATCGTTATTCGATCATTATTACTCAAATAAGAAAGTATACATATGTTTTCACGATCAATAACGAATTTACAATCTATCTGCCTTTTGACACATAACGCAATTAAAGTAGAAAATTTTATTTACGAACAACGTACAAGAACTTTAGATTTATTCGTGGACAAGTTTTTTCCAACGATTAGCCAAGCAGTAAGGTTCGTAGTTTATCTTGCGGACGTTATCGTAGCTTTTAATACCGTACGAAGTAATAGCGTTGTCATTGGAATTTAATTCGAGGCTAACGGCAGTTCGTTGCATCGATCCCTAGACTTCTCAACGATCCAACGATTTGTCGCAATGCGGCTGATCGAGTGTCCAGGTGCCTACAACGTTCAATCTCGTTCCCGAAACCGGCCACGATCGCGACGATTGATTCACTGGCCCATGAAACGCTCTAATTAACTCGTTTCGGTGTCGGGAAAAGTGCCAGGGATCTATTTCTTTCGGGGTATTCGAAAAGAACACCGAACACGCGCGTATCGAATGGACGGACACAATCTTCCAAGGAATCGTATATCCGTAACGATCGATCATCGTCCGCGTAAAACATCGAGACAAACAAGGGAATAAAAAAAATTGGAATCCAGCAAAACGTATTCAGGCGGTACAAACTATCGAGCAATATAATTTTTCTTGGGTAACTTTACTGTCACCGAGGGGCCAAAAAAGAAACATTAGTTCCAAAGATTAGACGTTAAAGAAAGTGAATTCCATTCCAGTCGTTTATGAACAAATTAATCGAGTCAAGGGGCATCGCGAATAAACGATCGCTTTCTTCGTCGTAGAAATTCCGCTGAATGGATCCCGCCGTGATCGCCAGGTACGCGAGAACTTTCAATCACCTGTACGCTTTGATCGTAATCACGCTTTCACTTACAATCGCGGACGGGTCGAACAATCACGATTTCTGCGAAACGCTATCGACGGAACTATAACTTCCGTCGGCGTAACCTGATGGACACATTCGCGCGTTGACCTATTTCCCAAGTCAGGGCGCATAGTCCGATCAGATACACGGCTCTGCTACTGATTGACCGATCTACAGTCGGAGCCAAAATACTATCCGAGTTTTGGCCAAAAAAGTAATTCCATTCTCGCGAACGAAAGGGTAAATATAAAGGGTGATTTCGGTAATAAAACGTTTCGTCAGCTTCTCTATCGAATCGATACTCAGGGGTTTCTTTTTAACATAATCGTGCATTCGAGCGACGAATATATTTGCCCGTACGATATAACGAACCGATGATCCGAGCTATTGTTTGATCGCAATCTAAATTAAAGCTATTACACCGTGAACTTCCAATATGGCGTCGAACAGCTTATTCATTGTTGGCTGAAGTTCATTAGCAGCCATGAGGTATTTCTGACAATATCTTGATGCACGCCGTGCAACGTCACCGCGGGCACCCTGATCTATCAATTTGTCTTCCCGTCGTAGCGCTTCTCCCCTATCCAAATTTCACGATCTCGATCACGACAAGCTTATTCTGGGAATTTCTTTGCGTTTCGACAGGCTGTTCGTTAATTGACGATACAACACCTCTGGGAAAATTTTAATGGAAGATTCTAGAGGCCAAAATAAGACGAAAATCAAGAATACCAATTTCTCGAGGTTTCGTTAAAAAGTTATTAAAATTGAAATTAAAAAATTTTAAATTGTTCTGGAAAAATTATTTTAGGTTGCAGGGATCGATTACGATCATTTTTGGTCATTACACATATCCCCGAAATCCTACTCAGTTTCCAGAAAAAAATTCAGCAGTGGTGCAAATTTTTCGACAAAATTAAAAAATTTCAAATCGTTCTGAAAAAATTATTTTTAATTGCGGGAGTCGATTACAATCATTTTTGGTGAATAGACATACCCCCGAAATCTTACCCACTTTCGAGAAAAAAATTCAATAAGTGGACTAATTTTTCGTCGAAATTCAAAAATTTCAAATCATTGTAAAAAAATTATTTTCGGTTGTGGGGGTCGATTACGATCATATTTGGTCAATAGACATACCCCCGAAATCCTACCCACTTTCGAGAAAAAAATTCAATAAGTGGACAAATTTTTCGACGAGATTCAAAAATTTCAAATCATTGTAAAAAAATTATCTTCGGTTGCGGGGGTCGATTACGATCATTTTTTGTCATTACACATACCCCAGAAATCCTATGCATTTTCGAGAAAAAAATTCCTTACCGAAAATCTAATGCGAGGCCTGAAATGGTTCCCCGGTATTTCATTCGAATCTTTAAAACACCATAACTCCTGAACGGATTGGACGATTTTAATGTTCCAAGATGCAAACAACGCGTATTCTAGTGAAGAATATGTAGAAATTGCAAAAATATTCGAAAAGTTGATTCTTGACCCCGCAAAACGAGAAAAACCCCGTAAAAATGGTGCAATTTTCAAACAGCCGTAACTCCTACAATAGTGAATATATTTCAGTGAAACTTTTTTCTAAAACAGAGACCATGGGTACCTACAAAAAAGTATTAGACAATTTTTCTATAGGACGTCAAACAAAATGACTAAAAATCAAAAACGAATTTCTATGAAAAATCGACAGGGGGGTGCTGCTGAAATTTTTCGACGAAAAAAAAAAATGCGATATTTTGAAACTTAAATGGTAATGTTTTTTCTGAAAAGGCAGGTCATAGTATAATATATTACATTAACAATGATTTCTTTTATTTTGTTGCAAATAAAATTATACATTTCACTAAATACACAAAAGACTAGAGTAAATAAACAGTACTTCTGCAATGAATTACAATTCACTGTAATACAGTGTATGTAGTATGTACTATAATTCTATGATGCATCGTCGTATGATGTGACAAGATAATAAAAATTTTCTGTATAAAAATGTGCGATTAATCCGCGAAGTATTATAATTGAACACATTACTGTTTATTTTAAACTAGAACGCTATTGAGAACTGAAAACACTATTGCAAATTATCTTAATCTGAATATCCATATAATGGCCCTTCTAAATACGCTCTGTCCATGTCCAGCGAATTTCTACGAAGACGTCTTCCGACAGGTTCTAAATCATTATAACATCTATCAAAAACTTTCATCACCGCTGCTCGTGCTTCATCCTCGGTAACTTTTCGTACAGCAAGTATCGAATCTAAAGCCTTCTTCTTAACACAAATCTAAATAAGAAACATTGTAAATGTGGATAAACAGTACAGACTATTTATCGTTACACCCAGACCATTTTCATACAAAATCTCAACTATCAAACTATCAAAACACCATTAAACAATTCGAATATTCGTAAGACCTGTTTAATCGAAATTGGCATGCGAGTAGATGTAAACAAACGAAACGACGATTCGGTAAATCGGAAGGCAAATTTTTGATATTCATACAATAAGAACCCAATGCATTCCTAGACTCAAACCAGGTATATTACATCTTTGTTCACAGAGTACTATTAAAAAGTACAAGAAAAGTTTTTAAAAAAATTGATATATACCAACATCTCTGTACCAGATTCTAAAAGATTCGTGTTTGCTACAAATATATTTTACCTGGTGTGCTTCTTTAAAATTAAAGAACGAAGCAACTCCCTGTGTCCAAGCACTAAGAAAACTGCAATGCATCAAATTTGCTGCCCTTATCTCTGAGCAAGCCAAGTGCTCTAGATTGGTGAAATCGAAATTATTACAGCAAGCATCGAACATATGGACCATTTCGTGGCTCAAAACACCTTGAACTATCCCTTTAGAATTATTTTGACAAACGACGATCTAAAATACATAAATTATTGCACTTCAATTATTGTATTTATAAAAATTATAATACAATAATCACCTGATTTAGTACTGGATCGTATCCACCTGTCACCGACGTGTCACACAGTTCGCACGAAATATGTCGACGAATATCAATTTCACTGTAATTATAATTTTTACATATATTAAAATGTACATGTGTATTACAAAATTTTTTTGCTCGTTACGGACATTTACTTTAATTTACATCGGTGAACTGCGTAAGGTAGAAGAAAACTTTTTTAAACAAAACTTAGTCACTGTCTTTAAACGAGATCTATTACATAACAAATGATTTATTAATTTTTTAAACGATCGAATAAAAATTACGAACAACAATTGATATTCTTCTTCAAATCTCTTATTCTTACGTGAAGCCACAGTCAATGGTTCAAATAATGAATAACAATATAAATAATGCTTTTTTAATACAAATGAAACGTTTGTAATTAAATCAACAATTTTAAAACAATTTTAATGGGAGATTCTAGAGATCAAACTAAGACGAAAATCAAGAATACCAATTTGTTGATTGAGGCTTCGTTAAAAAGTTATTAACGTTTAAAGTTCCCGCCCGTACAGAATTTTTTTCTAGAAAGTGGGTAGGATTTCGGGGGTATGTCTATTCACCAAAAATACTTGTAATCGACCCCTGTAACTAAATATAATTTTTTCAAAACGATTTGAAAGTTTTTAATTTAATTTGTTTAATAACTTTTTAATGAAGCCTCAGTCAAGAAATTGCTATTCTTGGTTTTCGTCTTTTTTGGTCTCTAGAATCTTCCATTAAAATTTTTTCCCAGGGTTGGCCTAAAAAGTGCTAAATTAAAAAATATCGATCTACGTGATACGTGCGACTGTCAAAGTGTTAATCTATACTTATACTATAATTATAAATAAGCATTAGTAATAAACTAATAAAGCATTGTCAACCCCAAACATAATATTTTCTTTTTATACATAAATCATAAGAATTCAGACAATAAAATAACACATTTAATCTACAAATTATAACTGGCTAATATTTACAAAAAATAAACATATTATGTATTACATACCATCCTGCACTCTTTAATGCTGCCATCATAAGTTTAACAAGAGGACCTAAAATGTATACAATGCTTAAACTATTTTGACTAAACATCATTTAATTATTTAAAACATTGTATAAGTTCACTTTAAATTGTTTAAATTGTATGGTACATATATTTTTATATAATATGACAGCTTGTATCGAAACAAATTTAATTGTGTCGTGCACTATATCCTTCGGAATCATATAAAGTCAGGAATAAAAGAAATAATTCGAAATATTCGTAAATACAATCATACAAAATACTCGAACAATTTCTTTCATTCATAGTGTACCACATAGTTGAATTTGTCTCGATATACACTTTCGTATTATACGAAGAAATATGTAGCGTACAATTTAAACAATTTAAAGTTAGCTTCGTATCTCGTAAATTATCGCAAATTAAATTGTCATTTTCTCGGTTCGTTTTGTAATTTTTCTTTTCGAAATTGTAGGTAGGTTATTTTGTATCCAGATTATCCAAATATGTTTATTTTTCTTAGAAGTATGTACAGTACTTTTTCCATAAAAAAATATTAAAAATTGTGATTTGGGTTAGGTCTGGATTAGGTTATGCTATAATTATCATGTTATCAAGATTTCTGGTGCGTATCTTCTCAATCGACGTACTTGCGATCGCAAATTCCAACAGCCGTGATATACCGACTTCCACGAAACTTCCTTCGTTATCAACGACCGGTATGAACGAGCACTGCTTTAGTTCCTTTCTTGTTCATCTTCTTCAGAAACGAAATAAATGTAGGCACACTTTTATAAAACACAATACTTTCACTTGAAACGTATACTACTTGTTTGCTTTTGCCAATGATTGAAATTAAACACAGCCCAAATGTAAAAACAAAAAAAGAAACGATCGAGAACGTTGTTTGCCTCTACGGTAAAGCGTCATTACACGTAGGAATATTCAAACCTCTTCATCAACATTTTTCACGAATTAAAACAAACGATTTTGTACAAATATTTTCATTATAAAAATTATGTTGTATTATAATATAAATATTATTATTATTATTATTAATAAGTGTACAAATTATTATGTACACAGGATATTTAAAAAATATATAACCAAACTTTGGTATCCTATTTATATTAAGGATGAAGAACCACTATAAGAACATGTGGCCAAACACATCACTTTTTCCAGTCATAAACATTATTTGTTTAGGACAGTGTTTGGTAAAAACAGACTATGGCAATGCATATCTCTCATTCATACTTTATACACTATTGAACATGTTAAAAAATGAGAATATGATTTTGGAATACTTTCGTATCAGCTACACATTCATACGATTTTTTTTTACCATTATGATAAGTAGGATAAACTCCTATTCATCATCGAAGTATAACCTTAAAATTGTGCATACTTTTAATTCGTGCACTTTCTTCATCGTGCTTTTTGTAGTTGTAATAAATTGACTTACGTAAACACGTAATCAATAAATACTTAAATTGATAAACTAAAAATGCGTTGAACGAAATATACCGGTTGGAAATTAGAAAACAAAGAAGGTAATAAAGAAAAAGGTATAAACATAATTACAAAATTCGTACTCTCTGTCACACACTTGTAAACAGCTGATTCGCACTTGAGCCTGGACAATACTTCTCGTTCGTCTACGCGTAACAATTTATTAAACCAACTACGGGATTTCTGTCCTCTCCTTTCCGGATAAAGATCCAAATTTGCGAACTCTTCATCGGTATTTGTACTTGGAACTGATTGTTTTTCCTTTTCCTCTTTCGTAATCGCCATAATTATATGAATAATTATGGTTTATATCGCCGATTAAAAAAACACAAAATTAATATAGAAATAACTGTATCTCACATCACGTTTTCACTGCTACTAGAATCAACCGAAGACCAAGCAGTATGCTTGAAGCGTCACCTCGTACTATTTCTTTCTTACAACCCTCACCAGATGGCGGGACAAATATTTCACCATATAGGGATTTCTTAATCCCTAGAGGATCACTATCGCAGATGAAGCATACGAGTATACCTTACACCTTATGGACTTTTGTGGCCCAATCTGACTACCATACCGACCAGAAAATTCGGAGGTGATTTTAGCGGCCTCTTCTTATGTATGGCGGTCAGTTGAGAAACTCACTGAATTAGTGTAACAGGCAGACCAGTTGTGTACAAATGCATATGAGTTGAAAAGTACGAATTATTCGCGATTCCTTGACTAGTTAATGTTGTAAATAATTTGCTAAAATCAGCCTAACCCAAATCTAACCCAGCCCTAACCAGCTGTAGTGTGTGCATAAATGCATGTGAGTTGACTATACCACAGACGAGACCATTACCATTTTCGTGTCACTCGCAACGTTATCAACAGATTTAGAAATTAACACAAGAGGAAGTGAGACAGAAAATAAAATTACATAAATTTTATTATTTTTTAACGGAATGAAAGCTGTATGATCCAGAATTGAGCATCGATCGATTAATTTCATTGGAATCGATTGAGATTATTTAAAGATTTCAAAATTAATAAAATACGTAATGATCACATTGATAAATACACCGCAAATCCTCTATTTTTTATTTTAAATTGTAATATATTATTTATTTAAAAAATAACTCGGCAGAAACGTATTTGCAACTCGAAATCAGTGTTATTAGACCGCACACCAGAACGAACAAGGTATGTGGAACTATAAGAAGAACGCAGCCATTAGCTCATATTATTTGCTATGTAATTAATAATTATATTAATTACATAGTAAATAATATGACCCAGGTCTCACCGCGAGGAGGTTGCTGCGACTGGAGACCCACCCTAGCCTCGCCCCAACCACCCTTCCTTTGGCGAGGAATTCGAATACCTATCCAAGAGAGAAGCTATCGAAAAGTTGGAAACGAGCTAGAAAAGGAGAGTTCTTAAAAGAACTGCCCAATCAAGAGACGAAGAACCCAACAAAATGTCAATACATGTGAGATGATACACATGTTTTCTAAAAACGAAATTGAAATGTGCAACTGCACGCACGAACTCTGACTGATGAAGAGATCAGAAACCTAACAAAATGTTGATACATGTGAGATAATTCAGCACATGTTTTCTAGAAACGAAATTGGAATGTGCAACTGCACGTACGAATTCTGACGAAGAGATCGAAAACCTAACAAAATGTTGATACAGTACCAATATGTACTTTATTATTAATTGTTCCTACTTAAATAGATACTTTTATTATGACAGTGTCTAATAAGACACTGAAGGCCTTGCATATTAGAATACTAATATGTTCCTTAATATTAATTATTCCCACTTAAATTTACGCACACGCTTCAATAGTATTCAATAAAACGCTGGAGAACGCTTATATCTATATACATTTGTACTTATATTCTAATGCACTCTGTGGAAACGAAGAAATACGAGGAAACATTTTCTTCTTGATGTCTTCATCAATACCACGATGTTTTTCTAAAACATACACTCATATACAATAAATATAACCGATATAAAACGAAGATATGACAAAATATTTTCTTCTTGGTGTCTTGATTAATCCCACGATGTTTCCCTGAAACATAAATCAGACAATAAATAAAATTGTATGAAATATTTGTCTAAGAACGATCAAGATGGAATCCGTGTACCATTTCCAATTCCATTCTTCGATGATTATATATCCTATAACAAGAACTTGTTCAAAGAATTAATAGCTGAAATGAAAGTGTATTAATGAACACAGAAAAAAATAATTATATACCGTCAAGATAGACTAATGGCAATCGATTATACGAGTAAAAATTAATATTGAAAAGTTAAATTCGTCTCAGTGTTAAGATAAATACGAAATATTCATTTATCAAATAAAAAATTTTTCAAGACGTATACATTGCAATAATTATATTTTACTGCATTCAAAACTAAATTAGGTTCGTACAGAAAAAGCAATAGCGAACGAAAATGTCGATTCTACGCGGAAATTAACTCTCAATATGAAATATCGAATTGCAATTTGCATACTCTTTTGATACAAGCATTCTATTCTCCATCAATTAAAACACTGATCGCGAACAAACTTTGATTTATGCAAAGAATACAAAATATTTATAAAAAAATCCACTATTTATAAATAACAATTGGGTCGAAAAGATTATTATATCCCGTAAAAATTATCAACTCTAATAATGAATAATTAGTGATATATATATTGGAATCATAAATTTAATCTGTGATAAAAATATATTCATAAAAATTGCAGGTTTTAACATGTTCTGAAAAAGGAAATAATTGGTCTATTTATCCCAGTACTTTCAAGCAGTGTTTTCATTGGCAAACATATAAAGAAAAGGATATATTTCACATAGTTAGGGTCAATTTTCCACTCATAAATTCAAAAAACAACCCGTGAGTGGATTTCTTTCGCAACGCTAATTTATAAAATATAAAAGTATACGCGAATGGTGCTTGTTATTCGTAAAATGAACCATACAGGGTTCCTTTATTAATTAAATCGCGTGCACCCATATTCAATCATGCGCAACACTAATTTTAATAATGACGTTGAGCCATTCGAGGCTTTGCCGAATCCCAGCTTGCTTCTCGATGATCCTGGTGCAGTGGCCAGCGTTCTGGCCAGCTTTTGGGCATTGAATCGCAACTCTAATTGATTAAAAACGCGACAAGTCAAGATCGCAACGCTAATTTATAATATAAAAATTCCAAACGCGATTTATAACAATATAAGTAACCGCGAATGGTGATTATTCGCAACGCTACCCTGAAAAGTAAACGCGAAAAATAGTAATTCGCAACGCTAAGAGCAAACCGATCAGTTCATTCGCAACACTATTCTTAAATAACGATAAAAGCAATCGCGTATGGAATTCGCAACGCTACCCTGAAAAGAAAACGCGAAAAATAGGAATTCGCAACTCTACGAGCAAACGCGAGTATTGTATATTCGCAACTCTATCTTTAATGTAAATATATGTATGTTTCGCAACGCTAATGCAAATCGCGTTGCCCAAAAACGCTGGACCAGGAGCTGGCGTCTTCGGTTGTAGGTATAAACATACATGCACGAAATAAACTAACTACATCAAGCTACTTCAAACTACAATAGAGTGGCACATGTGGGGATGAATTTAGACGTTTTAAATATCGCAACACTACGGGGCAACAACGCGATAAATCAACAATCGCAACGCTAATTTATAATAGAAAAATTCCAAACGCGACTTGTAACAATAAAAGCAATCGCGAACGGTAATTATTCGCAACGCTACCCTGAAAAGCAAACGCGAAAAATAGTAATTCGCTACTCTAACAGCAATCGCGTTTACTAATAATTCGAAACGCTATTTTTAAAGCAAACGCCCGGTTCCTAGGTTTGCATAAAGACAATCTCGAATCGTATTTATTCGCAACACTGATATATCAACGCGATAAATATTTGTTCGCAACTCTACGAGCAAACGCGAACATTGTATATTATTCGCAACTCTAACTTTAATCAGGGGCTATTGGTACATGTACATAGACATGTACTGGCCACAAAATAAACTAACTACTACTAGTACTACAATTGGGGTAGAATTTGGGCATTGAAAATATCGCAACGCTAAATAAAAAATCGCACGATTGATCAAGATCGCAACGCTAATTTATAGTATGAAAATTGCAAACGCGGTTGATGTCCATTATATGTATAAAAAGAGTAAAAAAGCAACGCGAATCGTGATTGTTCGCAACACTACCCTGAAAAGCAAACGCGAAAAATAGTATTTCGCAATTCTACGACCAATCGCGTTTATCAATAATTCGCAACGCTATTTTTAAGCAAACATTCGGTACCTAAGTTTGCAAAAAACCAATCGCGTATCGTGTCAAGGCGCAACACTACCCTGAAAAGGAAACGCGAAAAACAGTGATTCGCAACTCTACAAGCAAACGCGATTATTGGATATTCGCAACTCTATGTATATCATAACCGCGAGTTATGGGGAGGGATGGCTGGCATGTATGGTGCGATCATGTACCATCAGGTACATGCATACGTGAGCCAGCCAGAAAAATAAACTAACTACAACTACAGACGAGTTAAGTGACAAAGTAGTAAGAGGAATGACTTTCCATTCTCATTCGAGGATGAAGATGAAAAGCCATTTGTTGTAGCCCACTCTTGAGACAGTTTGTCAGGGCCTCTTCAGCTCATATAGAGCCTTTTCTTTCTTCGGCGGTCCTGCCGATGCCTGAAACTTACGAAAGACCGGGCTCGAGATTTCGTGCAATACGTAGTCTTCCAACAATATACGAATTGTTGCAAGAGCATACGTGGTCATCTCGAGCGGGACGAGCGTTTCGAAAGGGACCTGATCACGACCGCGAGCGCGAGAGAGCGACTTTAAGAGTCGCGCGATTCGAGGAGTCGAAAATAAAGCCGAAACAAACAGCACAAGTGCACCGTTTGAATCAGCAAGATTTCTACTCTCGAAATCGTAACTACAGGAACAGAACTGCCACGCGAAAACGCGCCTACCCGAGTAACTAATGTGGACAGTCCTGCCCTGACCCTACCTACTTAGGTTTAAACACACACACCAGAGAATAAGTTACCTACCTACCTAACCCTATATTTAAAAAAATGCAAAACTCAGTCTCTCAAACAAACACTCCACGGTTCTCATTCTGAATGTCCGGGCGCGACCTAAACTAGAGAGGACTCCCCGGGGTTCCTCCGACACCCGGACACAATCTCATTCATACTCTAATTGTGTACGTACCAGTTTTTGCAGTGGACTGACAAAGCTAGTGCCCATTGCGTACTTTTATTATTTATGTAAAACATTTTAATATGTCTGATATAGT